TTATGGGATAAATGGTTTGGAATTAATCATAGCAGTTAGAATACAGTTAAACATGCAGAGAAGTACTTTTGATTCAGCAACCGGTGAATTTTTTATTCTTTTCGATCTAGTACCAGAATAACTGCGAACCATTCCATTCAATATGTCGAATAAGGCACGCAGGAGGAGATCATTACCATCAAATGAGTCAACTTGATCTGAGATGCAGCTTTCAGCATGTTTTCGTTATATCATAGATATCCAGGTTTATTGGCGCTGTAGAGGCAGTGATTTGGATTATAACGTATTCTACAAAGTCTCCGTGCCCATTTGAAGTATACATATGCTTTGAAAGGATTACTTTGTTGGCTCCTACCCCCACTGAGTGTTAACAACAGCTGCTGTGGGTTTATGTATTTCCTCGCCTTTTTGGATAAAACATCGCCGCATTCTTTTTGGGTAGGAGACCAGTTGGTGGATTATAAATGATGTCCAAGTAACTTTTATCTTTTCATGTGGTGTTGCGGTAAGTTTCTACCTTGTTTTCTCATATTTCATTCGTATGTTGATTATGGTTCGCCCTTTGTATCAGGTAGACATAGTTTGATCGACTCTTGATTGAATGGGTGTTATTGTCATGACTGCTGCTTTTTGTCTGGAATTATAAATAGAGACAAAACAAACAACAGGTGTAGTCTCTGAGTTCATACATTAAATGGGCCTATGATTTCTGAAACTCTTACATGGGAATTACCATTGGTATCAATTACAAACTCACTTAGTGTGTCATTAAGTGCCTTTTCAAAGGAGGCCAATGTGCTTGCTAGTCGTATTTTCTCAGGTAGTTTGTTCCATATTTGGGCATACCTAATCAAGAAAAACTTTTGCCTGGTGGCTGTTTTACATGGTTCTATAGCCACTGTACCTTTAGTGTGCCTAAGGTTGTATCCTGTGTTACCTGAGAACCGAGTATAGTTAGCAGGGGTATACACTATTTGGTTAAGAAGCTTATAGAAGAGTAACAGATTTAGTCGCAGTCGCCTTAACCATAATGTTTCTAGTCCCAGGATTTCACATCTGGTAGAGTAGTTTGTGCCGTTATCGGTTCCGAGTACTTTTCGCGTGAAGTACCTCTGTACTCCTTCTACTTTCAGTTTGTCTTCTATGCGTGTACTGCTGAATATGAATGAGCAGTAATCTAGGAGTGGGCGCACACATACCTTGTACAGTAGTATTCTGGACTCGTTTCTGTAGAAGTTCCTGAGTAGGAAACCAATAAGCCTTCGTGATTTCGACACTTGATTCGAGATATGCTCTGAAAATGATAGATTGTGTGAATATTTCAGTCCTAGGTCTAGTACAGATTTGAGTCTGGGGATTTTGTGGCCCTGAATTGCTAGGTTGAGGTCAAGGTTGGAACAGCCTATGCAGAGCCATCCACACTTTTCAACATTAAACTCAAGTCTCCACGTGTCACACCATCTATCCATTTTTGCTAATTCTTCATGTATGGAGTTCATAGTTGGGCCGATATCTGTATTTGTGCAGGTATATGTCACCTTCAAGTCATCTGCATACAGTATTGGCTTGCCTATACTAAAACATTCACATATACTGTTTATGTATATAATGAAAAGAAGGGGTCCCAATACACTCCCCTGGATGACACCACTGCTGATTGGTCTAGGTCTGGAGGTCATTGAGCCAACTTTAGTTGTCTGATTCCTGTCATAGAGAAATGATTTTATCCAATTGTAGGGGGGGTTGCGTATCCCTAGTGAGCATAGCCTACCGACTAACAGACTATGTGGGACTCTGTCGAAGGCTTTCCTTATATCGAAATAGAGGATAATCACTAGCTCTCTCCTATCTCTTCTATAGGTGACTTCGTTGAAAAAGTCTATATGGCAAGTGACGCAAGATCTTTTCTTGAGGAATCCGTGTTGTGACAGGTTGATGAGTTTATGTTTTAGAAAGTAGTCTGACATTTGGTCCTTGATTACTTTCTCCATGATCCTTGATATGACTGGTGTTATATTGATAGGCCTATAATTACATGCACTAGTTTTGGCCCCTCCTTTATGCTTAGGTAATATATATGTTTTTCCAAGTTTCAGGGTAGGTTTCGGTCACTAGTGAGATATTAAATATTCTAAGTAATAATACAATCATATCCGTACCACCGTTTTTGTATATGACGGATGGTATATCGTCTATCCCACAACTACTGTTAGCTTTTAATGTCCTTACCGCCGATGCTATATTTTGTATATTAAAGTTTATTTCACCTAACTTGTAGTTATTTTTGCAGGTTATGTCGAGAATTGGGGACGGATGTGCTTTGGTGTTATTGGAGAACCACTCACTCAGGAGTTCACTAATGATCTGGGGATCATCATAAATTATACCTTCGTGTTCTAAATGACTGATATTGTTTTCTTCACCCTTCTTCAGCCGTTTTTGCAAGATTTTGCAGAGTTCCTGGGTTTTAGAGGTGCCTTCTAGGGCTTTATTTTCCTCGACTTGTGCTTTCATTTTATGTCTCTCATCTAAATTTTTAAATATTTCGTGTATCAGGTGTAATGCATTAAATTCTTTGTATAAATAAAATCTCCTTTTTAGTTTCCTTAGTTTTATTCGCGTTTTGCGATCTATGAACAGAGTTGGTGTCTTTAGGGCAGATTTCAGGGGTGCGATTGTGTCTCTTACCGAACTGATTGTCTTGTAGAAGGTATTTAGTATTACTTCTAAGTTATTATTGGTGAAGTATTCACCCCAGTCTGAGCTTCTCAAGAGCGTTGGTAGGAATTCCCAGTCGGCATTTCGATAGTCCCTATATTGATAGTAAACCGGGGAACTTTTAGGTATGTGTTTAGTTGTTAGTTGTAAGGGTAGGGTGCAGTACAGTATGTTGTGGTCACTGTTGTCGAGTTTATCCCTCACCTCTATCGAGATCGGCTCTATTTTGTGACAGAGGATTAAGTCGAGAATATTGTTGTGTCGTGTTGGGAGGCGTACGCACTGCTTCCATCCTCCTACATCTATGGCTTCTAGGATCACCTCGTAGGTACGCGGTCCAGTGCAGGTATCCCAGTTCACTCCAGGGAGGTTGAAATCGCCACAAACTAGTTTGTAGTCGAATTCCAGCTTAGGTACAACCTCTAGTATTTCTCCGATAACCGTATCAGTCGTTATAGGGCTGTTAGGGGCTTTGTATATACATCCCACAAGAATGTGATTTTCATTCGTGTGGATGCTTATCCACTTGGATTCTGGGAGTTTGTCGATAGTTAGGTTTGTAAAGGTATTGGAGTTAGTGGATTTAGAGGCATATATTAGACAGCCGCCTCCTCTCTTGTCTAATCTCGTTGACTTGGAATATGCAGACGATATAGTCCTTCTAGGCGAAGACGCTGACGAAATGCACAGTCTTCTAAACACCTTGAGCCGCAATCTACGAATGTTTGGCATGCGATTCGCTCCCGCCAAATGCAAGATGATGTTACAGGACTGGACCACATCGACGCCTAGTTTAAAAGGAAGTGATAGAGCACGTTGACCGCTTCACTTATTTGGGAAGTACCATCAGCCCCAACGGGCTGATCTCTGACGAAATCTCAGCACGAATACAAGGGGCTCGTTTCGCATTTGTTAGTTTACGCCGACTCTGGCGTAGACGAGATGTTCGACTATCGACCAAAGGGCGGATGTACTGCTCATCAGTCCGCTCCGTCCTCCTTTATGGCCAGCTGTGAGACCTGGCCACTGAGAGTGGAAGACATGAAAAGACTAGCTGTCTTTGATCATAGGTGCCTGCGTTCTATTTCCCGTGTAAAGTGGCATAATAAGGTGAGCAACATTGAGGTTAGGCGTAGAGTTCTAGGTAAACAGGGGAAATCAATCGACGAAGTCGTGAAGCTACATCGACTGAGATGGTTAGGACATGTGTTACGTATGCCAAGTCATCGCCTCCCTCGACGAGCTATGTTAGCGGATATAGGGTCAGGCTGGAAAAAAGCTAGCGGCGGTCAAACAAAAACTTGGCATCAGTCAATGAAATCCACAGCAGTTAGTCTAAGCCACGTAGGAAGGTGTAGACTTCCAGGCTGGGGTCCTCGGGACGGTAAAAACTATGGTTGGAAACAATTGGTGACATGGCTCAAAACCGTTCTCAGTGGCGCAGATGCATCCACTCCCTGTGACTTATGATTTCCAATGAAACTGTTTTGTATTTCTTTATTACTCCTTTGTCTCACACCTCTGCTCACTGTCTCTATTATGCTTTTCTTGTACTTTCTTCTCTTGCTTCGCGTGCTACACGGAATGTGGCGACTTGAACTTCCGCACATTTGTGCAAAGTTCTATGTCGAAAACAGACAGACAGATAGACTCTGTCATTCCTGTGGATGTTATAGTTATCAATTATCAGCTTTGTGTCAGGTATATCAATAGTAAGCCAAGTTTCAGTTACCAGAATCAGTGTTGGCCGCTCCATGTATACCAAGCTGCGAAGGGAAGTTATTTTAATAATAATAATAATATATTTCTTCCTGTTTATGCAGGAACATACCAATTGTACAGGCATGGATAAGTTATTATATAAATTACACAAATTGTTGTATGATGAATTTACAGTTTGGTTGTTCTTTCTGACATTAGAGTCAGACGGAACAGTCTGCTATAAAGTCTGTTTGTGTAGCACATAAAGAGATATAGAAATATTGTCTTCGCATTAAAAAAAACCCAGACATCAGATGAATGTAATACAGATATCTGGGAAAAATGGTAGAATTCAATCCTCTTACATAACTTTGTTGTGAACAGCACCCTCGGCTCAAAGTTTATTGATGTATTATGTTGAGATCAGTGATATATTTATTCCATTTTTTCAGTAGTCTTATCGTAGTTTTATAACAGGAAAGAAATTTGATCGTGGATGCGAAAACTAGATGAGGTCATGTGATGTTGTTTTACTGCATCAAATGGTGCTGAGGTCGGCTCCATTTGTGTCTGCATGGCGGACTGCATTCGTGAGTTCAGAAAAATGTTGAAAACTGTTTGAAAACCAGTTGCTTCTTCATTTCAGATCATGAATACTCATTTACAGCATGTTCGCCAGCGTCTTCAAATGGTAGAATTGGATCGTTCATGGAATTTGGGTGGTTATGAGGTAGATGGTTTGGAATTAATCCTCATTTCAGTTTAGATGCAGGGTTGTTCGACCTCGACCAGAAGATGAATAGGAGTATCAGAGTACCAAAAAGAGAAAGTATGTGAACATTAAAAGGATATTAATGTATATATATAATTGTTTATGTCAATTGTATAATAAATTATTAAAAAATTATTTTTAGTTATAGTTCTTTTCACGTATTTATGCGAAGTCTTAGAGTCTATTTAGTGTCATGATGTGTATTAATGAGTCTGAGCGTTTTAGTGTTCTAATGACTGATGCGTTTTAGAAGTAAGTAATGAGTTCTGGTAGGGATAGACTTTGGGATAAAACAGTTTATATAGCAAGCGTTTGAAGGTTACAATAAAGTGACACGTCCTATTTCTAGGGGTAAACTATTCCTGTATGTTCCGTACTAAGTCTTTATGCATCCATGCTGCTAGTTTATTTATGGTTTTTAGATTGTTAAGGGTGTTGAAGTGCGTTTTTTAGGTGCTGTAGTAGATTAGTAGTTGATTCGTTTTAGGAGTAAATAGTTTATTGATATAATCAGTAGAGTGAAACAGTCTATGCAGAGAGCGTTTGAAACTTGTAACCGAAGAGCAAGTTCTGACATCTAGGGGCAGGCTATTCCATATTTTAGAATACATGACTGTGAAGAAGTTTTCACGGAGTGTTGACTTAAAAGAATGAGTTGTCACTGTGGAAGTTTGGTTACGCAGATCGTAAGAACCTTCCTGTGCGAATTGTATGTCCCTGTTACCTGAGAATGATATTTTGTGAAGGACCTTAAAGAAGAATATTAGGTTTATAATAAGTCGCCTTGTCCAAAGTGGGTCAAGTTTTAGGATCATGCACCGTGAGATGTAGTCTTTCTTACAATCATAGCCAAGTAGTTTTGAGGTAAAATATCGTTGGATACTTTCCATCCTTAGCTTATCACGTGTGCGAGTGCTGCTTATAATAAATGGACAGTATTCTAGTAGTGGTCTGACACATGTTTTGTACAGAATTAGCTTGGCTTCATTGTCGTGGAAGTTCCTGAGTATGCATCCTAAGAGCATCCTCGATTTTCTAGTCTGTGATGCTACTTGCTCAGAGAATGTCAAGTCACTAGAGTACCTCAGGCCTAGGTCAACGACACTTCGGAGTCTGGTTAGGTTAGCAGATTGAAGCGTTAATTTCAGGTCAATTGAGGGTGCACCGAAGCAGATCCAGCCACATTTGTTCAGATTGAATTGGAGGTTCCATAGGGACGACCAAGCAGTCATTTTATCTAATTCCTTCTGCACTACATTCTCGAAGTTCCCTAAGTCATCACTTTGGAATGTATAGGCTACTTTTAGGTCATCTGCAAAGATGAATGGCTTCCCATGCGTGAAGCAAGCGCATATGTCATTGATGTATAGTGTAAATAGGAGGGGTCCAATGACACTACCTTGTACTACACCAGAAGTGATAGGGCTAGGTTTGGAGGTTGCAGACCCGAGTTTAACTATTTGGGACCTGTTGTTAAGGAATGATTTAAGCCATCCTAATAATGGGTCACGTATTCCTAAGGAGTTCAGCTTATTTGTTAGCAGTAAATGGTCAACACGGTCAAATGCCTTAGAAATGTCAAAGTAGATGACGAGTACTAGTTGCCGTCTGTCACGACTGCTGGTTACAAAATTGAAGAAGTCTAGGTGACATGTTAAACATGATCTGGATTTCAGGAATCCATGTTGGTTTGGACTTATAATATTCCAGCTAAGCATATGTTTGATTAGGTTATCTTTGACCAGTCTCTCCATGATTCTAGATGCTATAGGTGTGATATTGATTGGCCGGTAGTTACTGACTTCAGTTTTCGAGCCAGATTTGTGTTTAGGCATAATGAATGTTGTCTTCCATATGTCAGGGTAAGTTTGAGTTTCTAGGGACATTGTGAATATTTTAAGAAGCAGTAGAGGAATGTCAGGGCCACCATATTTATAGAAGTAAGATGATATACCGTCGGTACCGAAACCTTTTGAACTTTTGAGGGTTTTTATAGTTTGGTTAATATTAGCGTAAGTGAATTGAACAGTGCTGATTTTATTTGGTGTGAGTGGAGATGGAGTTTGTGCCATATTAGTAACAGGGTGTATATCGAGTAGCTGGACTGAGGGCTTAAGGGCTTACCTGCAAACGTTTTGTTGAATAGTTCACATATGTCTGCAGAGTTAGTGCATAGCCTACCTTTGTCTATGAGGAGAGAAATGCTGTGATTTTTGCGATTCATTCGCTTCCTTAAGATTTCTGTGAGTGCATACACTCTAGCAGGACTGGCTACTGCGATGCGTTCTTCCTTTCTCATACGGAAATGTCGAGCTTGTGAGATGGAGCTAAGGGTGTTAAGTATTAGACCTAGAGTGCCAAAGTCGTGGTGTTTGAAGTAACTTGTTGAGAGTCTCTTCAGTTTCGTACGATCCTTTGGTTTTATGAATGACTTTCTGTGTGGGGAAACCTTTAGTGTTTGGAGTGGAATGACAGCATCTAAGCATGTGTTAGAGTTATGGTAGAAGATGGTTAGGGCTCTCGATAGGTCATCAGTAGTGAAGTATTCATCCCATTCGGAGGATCTTAGCATTGATTCTACTAAGGCCCAGTTTGCCTTACTATAGTTCCAATATATTACTTGTTGTGAAGTGGAGGTATGAGATGCATTGCTACTCAGCGGAAGTGGCAGTGCACATATCACTGTTTTGTGGTCGCTCCCTGGAAACTCAGAACCTACTAGCGTTGAAAGGGGGCTTATATTGTGGCAGAAGATTAAGTCTAGTACGTTATTGCCTCTTGTGGGAGTGGTGACAGTTTGTTTCCAGCCAAGTATATCCAGCGTGCCTAAAAACTTATCAAATATCGCAATGCACAGCACACAAGTACTCATGAAAGTCCTGCTAGACTATTCAAATCTGGAGTTCTCCAAACACACCTGAAGTCTGAGACTTACGATGCCCATTATCACAGAGGGATTTACTATAGACCTTCTGTTGGAATCATACTACACAAAATGGGAAACCGAATGGTGAAGCTACTAGACATCGAAGATAATTCAGTTGACAACTGACACCTGGATCAAGTGAAAATAAATGAAGTAGGCCGTTTCGAATATAATTTTAATGATCCCGCTACTAATCCTGATTTTATAGATAATTCCGAAGTAATTCCAGATGATACTTATGAAAGAAGAAGATCGCAGCTACTTGCAAGCAAACCAATGCATCATTATAAATACGCAAGGCGACATTCGACGTGTGGCGGATATGGTGATTGACAATTTCTATCTCTGTATTATTTGAATTGTAAATAATCAGCTGGGTTTCCATCAAAACACCGTGGTTCAAATTTAGGGAGTTTGATGTTCCTATTATCCCTGAACGGCGAAACAGTAACATCAACCATGTCATGCCTAACATCAGACACATCGTTACAAGTAACAGACAAGTCACCATGACTTACTTTCCTGTTTGCATCCAAGACACTCTGTCCCTTCTTTGACCCAGGCATTGTTGAACTTGAACCAATTCCAAAAAAGTTCCAGATATTGCTTGTTCAAAGAGGACTTGACCGGCACCAGGAAAGATGAACGGTGACTATCCAAACTTTCACCAACTGTCTGAATCCGCCAGAATCTGTTTCTCCCGTCAGAAACTGTCAGCCACGTCTCGCAAACCGTTAATGCCCAGCTCTTGCTACGCTCGGGCTCACGCTGTTCCTTGCAGGTTTTCAGAAACGCTTAGTAATAACGGACGAAAAAACCAAAAGACCGATTGGCCGCTTTGGAATTCTTTATTGTTACACCAACATATAAAAATAATGGTTTTACTAGGGTCTGTGAACAAATATTATAATAATAAATCACAAGATTACTTCTGACGGTTAACTGCTGACTTCTTTCTGAACAGCGACCGATGAGACGATGACTGTCGTATTGATGCCTCCGCAAAAATTGGGGAAGTTGATTTTGAGCAAACAACCGTGAATTGATCGTTCATTGTTCAACTGCATTGTTAGGTGCACTCCGGTGTCATTGCAAAACCACTCACTGAGGAGTTCACTTATAACCTTGGGATCGCTGTATATCATACTCTTATGTTCCAAGATGCTTACATTGTTGTCTTTACTGCTTTTTAGACGTTTTTGCAATATCCTACAAAGTCCCAGAGTTTTGGTGTTACCCATAAGCGCTTTATTTTCCTCATGTTGTGACTTCATTTTGTGTTTCTCTTCAAGCAGTTTAAGAGTTTCATGTATTTGGTTTAAAGCATTAAATTCCTTAAATACATAGTATTTCCTTTCCAATTTCCTTAGTTTTGTTGCGTATTGCGGTCAATAAATGGAGTTGGTGTCTTTAGGGCAGATTTTAGGGGCGCGATTGTGTCTCTTGCTGAGCCAACTGTTTTGTAGAAAATCTCAAGCGATACTTCTAAGTTATTGTTGATGAAGTATTCTTCCCAGTCAGAACTTCTCAACAGATCTGATGGGAATTCCCAATCAGCATTCTTATAGTCCCTATATTGATAGCGCACCGAGGAATTTTTAGGTGTGTATTTAGTTGTTAGTGGGAGGGGTAGCGTGCAGCACACGTACATTACCCCTAGGTATAAGTCTGGCTCCCGTTCGAGTGTCATGAGTTACAGACCCATTAACCTAACTTCTGTTATTTCAAGGGCTCTGGAAAAGATCATGAAAAGTGCCATTTTTGACTTCCTCTCTCAAGAGAAACTTATCACTCCTTATCAACATGGTTTCACGAAGTCACGTTCTTGCACGACATGCCACTTACAATTTTTCGACATCTCACAACTTAAAGATTCCAGGAAGACCACAGTTATCGTGTACTTAGATCTTAGTAAAACCTTTGACGCTGTAAGCCACCGACTGTTAACATCAAAAGTCCAGTCATATGGGATCCAAGGTCCATTGTTAAGCTGGCTCAGTTCGTTTCTAAGCAACTGGATGCAAATGGTCAGGTTAGGTTCCCACTCATCCAACTCCGTTCGGACAACAAGTGTAGTTATACAAGGTAGTGTCCTAGGTCCACTGCTATTCCTGTTATATTCCAATGACATTTGCGATGTTATTAAACATGGCAGACCTTTCCTATTTGCCGATGACATCAAAATAGTGTATCATTCACTCAGAAATGAGGTGTCATGTGTATTTAGTAGGATTCAAGATGATATTGATAGCGTCCAGTTATGGTGTAACACGTGGAAAATGAAGTTTAACGTTGAAAAATGTGGTGTGCTATGCTCCTAAAGCATTTCATCTGAACTTTTCATCTCCCTATACAACAAACATATTCCTCGTCTGCCGCTTACAACAGACTTGGGTATTAAATGCACTCCAGAATTTAGCCTGACGGAATATGTTAAATTACAAGCATCAAAGGTCTAAAGGCTCTTTGGATTTTTGTTCCGAAACTTTAAGACCAGTGAATCCAAAATTATGCTGTACAAGTTGTGCTTAAGGCCCTTACTTGAATTTTGTCCCCCTATCATGGACAGTGTCTCCGTAAAAGACAGATGCAAATTAGAAAGTCTACAAAGGGCGCTTACCAAGCGTCTAGTAGGTGAAAATCTTTGCATTTCTTACTACGACAGATGTAATCTATTCGAATCGGAACCCTTATGGGTTAGACGACTGAAGTTCAACCTAAAAATTACATTTAGGATTGCTGAAGGTATTATGTATTTCCCCCACAATCACCTTACTTTCAATTCACCTAAGAAATATAACCTCAGAAATAAATCTTCTTTTAAAGTTCCCCGCTGTCATACAAAATACAGATCAAACCCTTTCACTGTGAGATTCCGTTGTATTTAGAACCGTCTTCCAACTGAAATTAGAAACAGTCCTACCCCAAAAACTTTCTCATCTCTGTTGAACAAATATTTTATTAACAACGGGTTAGAAGGGGTATGTGACAAACTAAAAATTAGGGATCTAATACGGCACTCCTCTGACCCTCACTGGTAGCTCCCGAAATCTGTGAACTCTATGTTCGACACTACTTTCACTATGATTGTTTTAACAACCGTAGTCACCTATTTTTAATCAGCCTTAAATTAAAAAATTTTTTCAAATATTTTTGCATATATCTCTGATAATATAGTATTATGAGTATTTCAGTATGCTAAGGTTCAATCTCAAGCTCCAGATGCAAA